GTAAATGCGTTCCCGCTGGTATGGGAGAAATAATCAAACATTAACAAATTTAAGAAATTTGCTTGCAGCACTCGCAGAACTGTAGTTAAATTTCGTCGTAAGGTAAGGCAAGTGGTGTCCTAAAACAGCGACTTCTCCAACCACTATAAATCCAAGTCGGCTCACGGCAGGGAGCAGAACATAGATGCATGGTGTGATGCAAAAGTCCTGGGACCAGAAAAGAAAAATTCTGAACTGTCGCCCTCTCAGACTTAGGTTTTCTTAATTATTTTCTGCTTTGAGCTAGTTTAAACCAGGGCTGGTGCAACTTTTAGAGGCGAAGAGCCCCGACACCAAACAACAGCTTCTCTTATTCGCGTATTTCGAGGCTGCCAACTACAGTTTGGGCAGTGTTCAACTCGTTTGCCGCGCAGATCCTTTTTTGCCTTTTAGGAAGAAGATGCAGTAGATTTGCTATCTCGTATACTGTTAACAGCAATTCTGAAATATGTTTTCGATTTTAAAAGGATTTCCTACTTTGTTTTATACTGTTTATTATCATGCAACATAATTCCAGTACATTTGGGTCACATCGGAAAGCGGCTTTTGAATGAGTTTTTTTCTGCAATCTGCTAAAATCTCACTCGGCCAAGGTGACTATTTAAGTGTTGTAAAGGTCCCCATTTGATTTGCAATGATCCCATTAATTTAAAATGTAATTTACAGAAAACATGCATAAAATATTCTTTCTCGTACTGATTGGGTAGCAAATTACGTCTTGTTCAAATTCGCGAAAGTCATTAGAAATACGGACTGTGAGCAAAGGGCTGAATGCTAAGAGTGAATCCAATTTTTAGCGATACATTTAAAGTAGAATACTTTACACTATCAAAGTATAGTAAGTAGCACTCACTGTGACAGTTCTGTCCATAGGGAAATATTGTAACTAGAAATGTGAGCCGTTGGAGTCCTGAATGGGAAAAGCTTTGGTGCATAACATGAATTTGAGTATTTTGACGATTCATCTCTAACTAACTGCCCGATTTGCTTAATTGATTTTGAAGCCAATGCAACATCGAGGAGCCAGCATAAGTACGCGTACCGGCTCGGCGATCAGAATGGACCACGTGAGCGAAAGCATCTAAAGTACTGCGCACAGACTTCTAGATTTCATAGGATTTCATAGTCTGTCAACAGATCACTGAGTGTACTAAGTGATTTCTTTTCAGGCTGTCAGGTTCGGACTGTTACCCTACTTATTTTGCTGGTCAAATATCTGCTCCGTCAACTGTTTGCCTCTCGAAAAGTTCGAAATCATAATTTGTGGGCTCGTAACCTTGGCACCCATTTAAGCGATCGACTTACCTCTCCGCAAGGCCAGTTTGTGTTCGAGTAACCGTGATTCCAAAATTTGCGTAATCTGGGTTTGGTAAGGAAGCTATGACATTTTTGCTTATGCAATACCTGACCTGTCAGTCTAACATCGGCGTAGTACGGCCATTTGCCCAAGTTTTAGGTCTCATACACAGGTAAAGAAGAACGACTGCAAATTGCAGTATTTACAGCTTCTTTTGAAGTTGAGTTGTTTGCATTTTCAAGCTCGCAGGGAATCGAACATAACCCTTCACGCGCTAGACTCTTTCGATGCCAACGCCTGTGAAATGCTGATGGTACCTGCGCTCTACATGTTCTTGCAACCTAGTCCTTTAAATGAATGCAGTTCCCCAGATCACCGTTCGTCCGTGTAGCTGACCTAATCCCTGCATCCAACCTCATTTAGCACTTCTGGATTCCAAATTATTTTATTTTTTTCCCCGACAGAAATGGGATTGTGTTAACTGCCAGGACATTTTCTGGTGTGGAAACATCGACTCCACCTCCTGCCTCATCCCTAAGCTCTCACACAGTAATGCGCCCTTGAACAGTCCGAGTAAACCCACACCGAGAACGCTGACGCAACGACAACACTCGGCTCATGGTTTTACGCCACGCGAACTGGCCCCTTTCGATCTCTCCCTGCCGCAGGACATGTTCACGCACAATTACGACTCTGGGCACCTGATTGGCGTTTTCTTCAAACGAAAACCTGACAGTTTGGTGGCATTTCATCGCTATCGACAGCAGCAGTTTTCCTCACTGGAGGAAGATTCCGACTCGGCTTTTATCGATACGTCCACCGCCGATCGGAATCAATGCATCCCTCACACGGTCTGGATCCTCCGCTTTGCCTCAAAGGTGGAAGCCTCATCCTGGCTCGACCTGGTCTCGCTGAAGAGCTCTAAAGTCATCACGGAGGGGCCCTGCTGCAATGGACGTGGTGTGGCCTGGCTGGTGTCTGAATTGCGAGAGATTTTTTGCGCATGTCTACCTGCGCATACTCCATCCTTTACCACTGACTCTGATCTCCGGTGGTCGAAGGTGAGGCTGCATGCATGCTTCATCTTTTTTTAGCATCATAGCTAGGTTTTTAATTGTGGAGGGTCCTTTCGCC